AAATAATGTTACAACTGTGTCAGTTGGTGGTCTCCCAAAAACTCCGTTATCAATAAGTTCTTTTCCTGGTGGTCAAAAATTCGTCTTTACCGATCCTAACAACGGTTTTGAGGATCTTGTAAAAGACCTGGACAGATTAGGCTTATCTGATAACAAACAAACTCCACAACAGTTTCCAACAAATATTTTCTTTCCATTTACAATAAGAAGAGCTTTTAGTATCAAAAATCCTGATCAAATTCTTGAATATTCTTTCAGACCTGCAAAAAATCAGATTAATTATAATGATCAGAATGTTAGAGACCTCAGCATTGTTTGGAATCAAGCTGCAAATTTTATCCCGGCATAATTTTTTTTTAAAAAAAAACAACTTTCATTAATTAAAATGTGTAAACTTCATTTTTTCATTTGTAACTTTAGCATTTGCATTCTTTTGTTTTATCTGCATTATATATACAAATCATTGCATTTTCACTTCATTTGTAATTTTTTTTTTATAGACTACCCTTTGTATTCATTCATCAATAGAGATTTTTTGGTCCAATAATATGTTTCTGAACCTTTAAACAAATAACTTAGACTTAAGAATATTTTTAATATGCACACTTTAATTATTAATTTTGTTTGTCTATTTTTTCGAAACAAAAAGACTAATTTTTCGAAAATAAACTTTTAATGCTGTTTTAACAAACAGCTTATGACCTCTAATAAATAATCATGACATAATAATCATACACATATTACATTTTTACATTTGGCATTTATTTACAAAGCATACATTATAATTACTTAAGAGTAAATTTTTTTGGTCTTTTCTTTGTTAAAAATTAATTAAAACTTGTTTTACCATACTACATCATAGAGAACTAAGAATTAATTTAGTCAAGGATGTTTAAAAAATAAAATTATTGTTCGCAATCGGCTAAATTAATTCTTGGTTCTCTTTAAAATTATATCTCAAAACACTGCCAAGGCGTTATTTCATGAAGATACGATTGAAAAATAAAATCCGGTTCCAACTCTAAATCTTAGTCAAAGTAATTTTGCGTAATTCTGTGCATACGTACGTACGTACAAAATTTTTTACAGTACACGTAGTATACACAAGTTGCAATATACTGGTAATTAAATATGGAGTACTCGTCAGTTTTCGGTTCCTACCTAAAGTATAATTGTACACTATCTAAATTGATGGCTGAATTTATTTGTTCGCACTTAACAGTTATACCGTATATTTTATTGCTTTTGTCATTTGTAATGAGAAATTGAAATTTATTATCTTGATAAAACCTTTGGAAATACACAAGACTTAATTTACGTATTTGAAAGTAGATGCACTTTTTTTTTTAAATGTCAAGTTTATGCGAAATTTATGAAAACAGTCATCACGTGAACTTACAGATCATTTAATGTCGATATTCATATATGTAGTTATAATTTCACATTACTTCATGAATATATATTAAATTGAATAATACTAAATAAGATCAATGCCTTGCGCAATTATCTATAACTTGGTTTTAAAGGTTGGCTAAGTTTAAGAATTCATTTGAATCGTAAAATAACTCATCATCTATAACAAGAGGTGGATTCGCTGCATCGTCAAAGCTTAAGTTTTGTTGTGACAATTGTCGTGTATATATATTTGTATACGTTCTTTTGGGTGAATCGGGTTCCTCCTATATATCATTGAATAAATATGTGATAAATGACTAAGATAAAGTAAAAGCTTTCACTCAAGTACAAAATTGATAAATAAATTTTTACAAACCTCTTCATCGTCGCATATTTCACAATTATTAGTTAAGTTAGAAATATGTTCAATTTCACTGTAAGCTCGTTTTCTGGGCACCCTCTGCAATGGAGAGACCGGTGCTGGTCCAAGCAATTCGTCTAATTTTTCCTCATCATCTTGGTCTTCTGTTAAAGATGATGACAACAATAATTTAGGTGGCCATACTGATGTAAACCTTGTCGCGTGTTTTCTCATGGTATTCGGAAAAGATTTTTGCTGTCTACGATGTGGTGGGGTAACAAAAGGGGATGCATGTGATGTTTTAAGTCGGGGTGCCGATTTCCAACGAGGTGTCTCTGGATGAAATGTTAGCCCATGGCGACGAAAATCCGGAGTTGAACCGTTATGTGATCTGATCATTGTAGATTCATGTGGAAAAACTCTAGGCGGAAATTTAGAAGGTTCTCCCTAATCAACATAATTATAAAGTTATTTGTATATGCGTGACAAATGATGAAATTCCCTAATGTCTATCTCGAAACTAAATACCTCATTATTGAAAGTTGGAATCTGACGGCACTCTAACGATTCAATCACCGTTCTTCGAAGGGAAAACTCCTGTTCAGTTGCATTACCCTGACCAATTTCTTCTCCTTTATTTCCCTCAGGCCGTTTGAACAAGTTTCCTCGAGTGTCCTTATGAGCGCTCGAAGGTATGTAAAAGGGATTCGCTCCTGATTCATCATCAAGTATTTTTGTATATCGACGATTTGGTATTGTGGGAGTTTCCACTTTGGACGCTAATGGCGTTTCATTATCCTGTGCCATTTGGGTCATCTTTTGCTTTTTATATATGTTTATGTATATATATATGTATAAGTGACGTGTCTTTATTATATATCTAATTATTTTTTTATGTACTTAATTGTATCTCAATTACCTGCATCATAGCATATTTTTCATTAAGTTTGCTTGTATTTCCTTTTTTCACGCTGTTTTCAGGTTTTTTGTCTCTGATATTTGAACTAGCAAGCTCATCCACGCTAAAAATATCAGAACGATGTCGGGTAGATGTGGACAACCTTTCATCTATATTAAAAAAAATCAAATATAATTAAAGTTAAGCAAATACTGATATATTGTAATATTAAATTAACGTGCCTGAATCAATGAGCTCTGGCACTTTTACAATAGTTTTTGACACCCTATAAATAATACCGTATTTTTAGTTTCACCAAATACTTTCTCGATAGCCTCATTATAGTTCTTATAAAATTACCTAGAAAATGGAACGTCTCGTAATTCTTTGGTGGGTGATGGAAGGTTTTCATTATCATCATAAAATATTCTATTTTTTGACATTTTTTAAATTCGTTTTCCGCGTTCGCGTAAAATGAAAAATATGAATGTTGTTGAAATACGTGAATGATCAACCACTTGATCATCCCGGAACAGCCCGGGAAGCCCGGAAGTATCGCAATTTTTCTATTGGACTAATTTTGGTTATGTGATTAAGCCTAATTAATTTTTTTAATTTTACAAGTTTATAGAATTGAAATAAAAAGTTTCGTTGAGTTTGATCTGTTAGTTATTGAAAAAATTTTAAAGTTTTAAAAAATATTGAAAATTTTGTAAATATGAGGCGAGTCATTAAAAATCAAGCAAATTGTTTTTATTGAATTTTTTTTAAAACTTTACATCTTAACCAAATTTTGATCAAATTTAATAAAATTTTTTAAACAAATTCTAAGGTAGGCATGCCTAATTTGGCGCAGTGCCTAATTTGACACATGATGATATCTCGAGATCTATTAATTAGAATCACATGATTTTGGTATCATTCAATTCGTCTTATTGAGACAATTGAATGGTACCAAAATTATGTGATTTTGATTGATAGTTTTCAAGATACTTCATTTAACCAAAATAGCACAAGATTCTTAGGCTATTTTGGTTAAATGAAGTATCTCAAAAACTATCAATCAAAATCACAATTTTGGTACCATTCAATTATTTCAATAAGACGAATAGTGATTGGACCTGGGTGGATGACTACCCAGGTCACCTGTTCATTCGCGGGTGACCCAGGTTGTATTGTGGCAACCTGGGTGGAAATGGGTGGGTCACTTTGTGGGTTACAGCTACAGTATTATTATAAAAACTTATAAATAATTTAGGGTTCTAAATCAGATTGAAAATTTTTACTAGTGACCCATCAAGTCAAACATTTTACCAACTGGGTACTCGAAATTAAAACAGAATACTGATTACAGCCATTATTATTATTAGAACCTCAGATAATTCTAAAAGAGGTGGTATTATTAAACTGATCATTATCTGGGCGATGTGATGCTAAATTTTGGTCAAACCAAAAATTTAATTTTTGTTTTAACCAAAATTTAACATCACGTCATCCAGATAATGATCAGTTTAATAATACCACTTCTTTTAGAATTATTTGGGGTTTTTTATTATTCCTAAGACACCTTGCAAAAATTAACCAAATGATTATTCTGCTGATTTGATAGGTTATTAATTTTATATAGTTAGTATAATGTTTATTTATGGAGATAGTCTAAAGCCAGGTACGTAGTAGCAGTAGACTTTAAATTGATTACTAACCGATTTGTAAATTAAAACTTATATAAAACATATAAATGACTTATGGTGCAGCATGGTAATTATTAAACAATTTCAAAGATATGATGTGTTGAAAATTTCTACCACTTGTAAAAAAACCATATCTACCAAGTCTAAATAGTATAAAATATTTTAAGCTTTAATGAAAAAAGGAAAGCCTGACTGGTGTTTGTGAGTTACAGTAGAGATAGAACTAGTTAGAATGTTAAAATAGAAGCCTTGTAGTATTTTATATATTTTACATAAGTTTTAATTTACAAAATTAATTAGTGATTATTTTCATAAATAATAAATAATATACTGATTTGCTAAAATCAATAACTTATAGAATTGGCAGATTAAATATTTGATTAATTTTCATAAGATGTTTTAGAAATAATAACAACAGCTACAATCTTCAGTAATTATCATTTATAATTCCGTGTCTTTGCCACCTGGGTAATTTTTTTATATTGAAAATAGCTATAACCCGCTTGGGTGGCCAATAGCCTACCCATCGGGTTATCTACTCAGGTTCTATTCAGGTGGCTAATAGCCCATCTGTTGGGTGATTCAGGTGGCATTTTTTTAAATAGGTCCAATCACTACCTAAGATAAGTTATCTAATTTGATACAAGTAAATATTTATAATAAATATCATGTAATGCATCAATCAGAATTACAAGATTTTGGTACTATTTAATTCATCTCATTAAGACAAATTGAATAGTATAATATATTATATAATATTTATTGTAAATATTATATCTGTATCAAATTAAGCACTAAATTAAATTAAAAATATTTTTTTAGATAATCTTTAATAAGTGATACTTTATAATTTAGTAATTAGAATTGGATAATTTTGATATTATTTAATTCATTTTAATAAGACAAATCAAATAATACTAAAATTATCTAGTTCTGATTGATATATTATATAATACTTAGCAAAAATACTAGCTGTATTAAATTAGATATAATTACTTTGAAAGTTTGTAGAATTTATTTGAACAAAATTTTATTAAATTTGATTATAGTAAGTATTGTTGTTTAAAGTTTAAAAAAAATTTATTTGGAAAAAATTTGCTTAAGGGTAGGGTGTCCGTAGATCATTTTTCATATGATCTACGTGGTATATTAAAATTTTACATAGACAGCAAAAAT